GAACTTGTAAGACCACTCTGGAAATCAGTACGGTGGTTGCTCAGAAAAATGGGAATCAGTCTACCTCAAGATCCAGCCATTCGTCTCTTGGGTATATACCCAAATAATGCACGCTCATACAACAAGGACATATGTTCAACCATGTTCATAGCAGCATTGTTTGCAATAGCCAGAACCTGGAAGCAACCTAGATGCCCCTCAAGTGAAGAGTGGATTGAGAAAATGTAGTACATTTATACAATGGAGTACTACTCAGCAGAAAAAAAAGCAATGGAATCTTGAAATTCGCAGGCAAATTGATGGAACTAGAAGAAACCATCCTGAGTGAGGTAACCCAGTCACAAAAAGACAAACATGAATTTTATATCCATATATGAATTTTAGACATAGAGCAAAGGATTATCAGCTTATAATCCTCTTCACCAAAGAAACTAGGAAATATGAAGTAATCTAAGGGATAAAGGAATGAACTCCAGGAGTGGGAAGAGGCAGGAACTCCTGTGCTAATTGGGAGCATGAGGGTAGGGGAGGAGCTGCCAGATCTTTCTTTCTTTTTTAAACTTAAGGGACTTGGGAATTTAGGATTAGGCACTATGATCTTCAGGAAATTTTACTTGTTTGTTTCACAATTATTTTTTTATTTAAAAAGTGCTATTATTTTATTTATGTGAAAATAAATATTTTATTTATGTTGCTTGAATGCATGTCTGTGTAGCATGTTTGTGCAGTGCCTGTAGAATTCCCTGGGACTGGAGTTAATAGGTAGTGATAAGCCACCCTTACATTTATGCCATCCTAGAGCCCCCATCTAGTGGCTGATGGAAGCAGAGACAGACATCCACAGATGTACTCTGAACTGAACTCTGGAATTTAGTTGAAGAGAGGGAGGGATGATGATCGAAGGGGTCTGTACCAGGTTGGAGAAACCCACAGAAACAGTTGGCCTGAACAAGGGGGAGCACATGGACCCCAGATGCTGTCTGGGAGGCCAATACAGGACTGATCCAGACCCCTGAGCATGGATGTCAATGAGAAGGCCTCTGCACTCCAGGGGCCCCTGGTAGTGGATTAGTATTTTCCTGGTGTAAGAAGGGACTTTGAGAGCCCATCCCATGTGAAGGGATACACTCTTGCCCTGGACACATGGGGAAGGGCCCAGGACCAGCACAGGATGATGTGGTGGACTTTGCGGAGCCCGGGTTGAGGGTCCTACCCTGCCTGAGGAGTAGAGGATGAATGGGGTGTGAGGTAGGTCAGGGCTGGGGGAGGAGGGATGGGGGTGAGGGTATGAAACAAGCTTGTTCCTAATTTGAACTAATAAAAAAAAGAAAAAATATAAGGTCAAGGCTCAGTATGGTAATATGCATCACAGCTCCAACATTTGAGAGGCAAAGGCAGTAGGAACATGAATTCTTGGCAGCCTGGGCTACATATACGGCATATACGAGGCCAGACTGGGATACAAAGATTCTGTTTCAAGAAAACAAAAACAAATTGCATAAGGCTATTAAAAAAATACTGGAACAGAAAATAAATTGTGTAAGACTAGTTAGAAAAATACTGCAGCAAAAATAAAATGACCAATCTTAAAGCACCAAGGACCTGGGTTCAATTCCTAGCACCCATATGGCAGCTCACAACTGTCTGTACCTCCAGTTCTAGGGGATCCAATACCCTCACACAGACATACATGCAGGCAATACACCAATGCACACAGAATACAAATAAATAAATAGTTTTTAAAAAACCCCACATTGTTTTGGAGACAGGGTATTGCTATGTAGCCCAGACTGGCCATGAAGTCCCTATATTCCTGCCTCAGCTGAGTACTGTGGATTTATAGGTATGGACCACTGTGTCCAGCACATAAAACTCACTTTTTAACAAATGGTGCTAGAGGTGCTAAAATTGGAGAATCATTTAGAAGAAGTTAAATTAGGTCTGCATACCATTCTATGTTCAAGAATATACAAATATAAAAGTCACACAAAAGTACTGAAAGAATACAGGATAGTGTACCCATGACCTGACTTTATGGATGGACTTTCTAACCATGAATAAAAATCCAGTTGTAATTAAAGACCGACTAAATATAACCACAAAAACTTTTTAAAAAGCCTTTTTCAAAGACTTAAATCCAGAGACAAATAACAAATTAGGAGTAAAATTGCTGCAGCACATGTTACAGGCAAAAAGTTTATATCCCGTCACTAAGATGGCTCAGCAGGTAAAGGTGTTTCCTACCAAGTCTGGTGACCTGAGTTTGATCTCTGGAACCCACATTGTAGAAGCAGAGAAGTGACTCCTACAAGTTGTCGTTTGATATCTACACATATGCTACAGTGCAAATGCCAAATACATATACACACAAGACACATCTGTACACTAAATAAACAAATAAAGTCAATAATTTTTAAAAAGTCAGTATCTTTGATACATAAGTAACTCTTAAAGATCAAGAAAAAAGACCAAGTAATTGATGGAATTTTTTTTTAAGACAGGGTTTCACTATGTAGCTCTGGCTGTCCTGGAACTATGTAGACCAGGCTGGTCTTGAACTAACAGATATCCTCCTGCCTCTGCTTTCCAAGTGCTAGGATTAAAGGCATGTTATCATGCTTAGTTAAAAAAAATCAAGGATCTTTGAAGAGTTTATAAATATACAAATAGATATTCAGCGAGCTGGATGTTGGCTCAGAGGTTAAGAGCACTGGCTGCTCTTCCAGAAGTCCTGAGTTCAATTTATAGCAACCATATGGTATCTATAATGGGATCTGGTGCCCTCTTCTGGCCTGCAGGCATACATGTAGAACACTCACACCAAAGGGCCGGGGGAGACACTCTGCTTCACTCAGAACCAGTAGAGATTAGAATGATGCCACTTTGTATCTATGAGATTAATTACAGGTAAACAATGTATTGTGTTTATGCAGTGACACTATGATGCATTGTTGGTGATAATGGAAAATAGAATAGTCACTAATAGAAAAGAATGTAACAAAAAAGAAAAAAAGAATGTAACAATAGCTCCCCAAACAAGAAATTTATTTGCCATCTAGTATTGCCATATATAGGAATTTATATAGAAGATATAACTGCACAAAAAGGCAACACAAGCATATGCACAAAGTAATTTATTGTATTAGTCCTCTTAATTGAAAAAATATTGCAAACAATTAAATTCCCTCATAGTGTTTAAACAAATGGGTGCATCCACTATTAGTAGTACATAGCTATAAATATAACATATGTGGTAAGCATCCATGGGTATCCTAACATTATGATATAAACATTCCAAGTTTTGAAAATCCCAGTCTTTAAAAATTAAAACACTCAAAAATTCAGTCTCTTTAAAATACAAAGTCTTTTAAGATTTTAAAGTTCAAAGTCTCTCAACTGTGGGCTCCTGTAAAAAGAATACTCAATTTAAATACTTTACTACTTTAAGAGGGAAGAACCAGTGCATAGTATCAATCTGAACAAAGCAGAACCAAACTCCAAAAGTGTAAATAACCTAATGTCTAATTATTTGGAAGTCACTCACAATCTTCTGGGCTTCTCTAAGGGCTTGGGTCACTTCTTTATCTCCACCCCCTGAAGCATGCACCGTTGGAATTTTAGGCTCTGGATGGCTCCACTCCACTGCTGCTGCTGTTCTTGCTGGTCCTCCCATGGCACTGGCATCTCCAAAATGCTGGGGTCTTCTGCAACTGGGCCGAACTTTCACCAATTGTCCCTCATGGTGCTCTGATGTAGGATGTCCTTCTGTACTCTGTGAATATGTGTTGCTTTTATTGGTTGATGAATAAAGCTGCTTTGGCCTATGGCTGGGCAGAATATAGCTAGGTGGGAAATCCAAGCAGACATATAGGGAGAAATAAGGCAGAGTCTAGGCAGACGCCAGCAGCCGCAGAAGGAGAAAGATGTTGGAGCAGCACAGGTAAGCCATAGGCCACACAGATTAATAGGAATGGTAATTTATATTAAGAGCTAGACAGTAATAAGCCTGAGCCATCATCCAAATAATTATAATTAATACTAAGATTCTGAGTGATTATTTTATATGAGGTTGTGGACTGGCAGGCAGGAAAGAAAAGCCCTGGTTACATTTGGCACCCAACGTAGGGCTCTCAAATTTCCATAGGGCCTGAGAGAGCTTAAAATAAAAAGGGGTTCTAGAACACATAAATGGAGCCCAAAACACCTTCCTAATTGTGTCTCTCATGTAGGCCTCAGTACAAAGGCACTGTGGCATTCAGGCTTGAGCACAGAGGCATCTCCAAGCCACACAGCGTGCTGCGTGGTGGATTTAGATCTTACTCATACAGACTAAAAAGGTTTGTGGGCCAGCTGCATGCTATCTGGTGGCAATATAGATCCCAGAGGTGGGGAGGAGGGGTACCTTTGCTATGTTGGAAAGCTGATTGGGTGAAGCCAGTAGCCAAAGCCGCCACTTTGGTCCTAAGTCACACCTGCTTAACAGTTTAAAGCAATGATCAAAAAAGGGATTACAGATACACAATAAAGACAGATTCAGACAAAAAAACCCTCTAAACAGGTTACAGCATGCTTAAAAAAAGTACATAGGGATAGTCACCCCAAATGTCATTGGCTAAACGGATCGAGCTCCCACAACGGCTCTCTTCAGGACTCCAGCCTTGCCACACAGTGCCAAGCCTCAGCTGCTCTCCATGACCCCTTCACACCTTCAAAACCTGGGTGACTCTTACACTGCCAAGTTCAGCTGCCACCACAAGGTACAACTGGAACACAGTTTCTGTGTGCTGACTCTCAGGAAACACTTTCCAGAAGATTTCACCTCAGTGATGCTGGTCTCTTCTTAATCACCACTAATTTTTCAGCTCCAGCTGACCAGTATCAAGTATCTCAACAAAGGCTTCACTTTAGTAGTTCTGGTAAACTGCTAATCACAGATAATTATTCATCTCGAGCTAACCAAACCACAGAATCTTAATTCAAAATAACAAATGGCCCGGACAGAGTATTTAAACTTCCCTTAGAAATTTCACAAGCCAGGCCTCCACTGTCTACACTGCCTGCAACATTCTTATCTTCAAAGCTCACTGAGCTCTCAACACAGAGACTAAAAGGCTATTTTAGTCCAAAGTTTCAAAATCGTTCCACAATCTTCCCCAAAACACATGGTCAAGTCTGTTATGGCAATAACCCACTGTCTTGGCAGCAACTTCTGTCCTATTTAGGGTTTCTACTGCTGTGAAGAAACACTATGACCAAAAGCAAAATGGGAAGGAAAGGGTTTATTCAGCTTACGCTTCCACACTGTAGTTCATCACTGAAGGAAGTCAGGACAGGAACTCACACAGGGCAGGAACCTAGAGGCAGGAGTTGATGCAGAGGCCAGGGAGGAGTGCTGCTTACCGGCTTGCTCCCCATGGCTTGCTCAGCCTGTATTCTTATAGAACCCAGGACCACCAGCCCAGGGATGGCACCATCCACAGTGGGCTGGGTCCTCCCCCATCAATCACTAATTAAAAAAATGCCTTACAGCTGGATCTCATGGAGGGATTTTTCTCAACTGAGATTCCCTCCTTTCAGATAACTCTAGCTTCTGTCAAACTGACATAAAACTAGCCAGTACACTGGGTCTTAATGTATCCCATGCTGGCCTTAAACTCACTATGTAGCCAAGGCTTGCCTTGAACTCCTGATCCTACCAACTCTACTTCCCAAGTGGTGAGATGGGCCGTCATGGCCAGTTTTATCTGGTGCTGGAAATGAACCCAGTTCTTTGTGGATAAAAGGCAAGTACTCTACTCAAATTCAGATCCATTCTTCCTATCTACTTTTTGTATGTGTGTTTATATGTATAGATGTGTATGGTATACGTGTGTGTGTGTGTGTGTGTGTGTGTGTGTGTGTGTGTGTGTGTGTGTGTAACTCAAGTTAAAATTAGAAAAAAAGCATAATACCCTATGGCATAATTATAGAAAAATGTATTTGTGTATGCTCCCCTAAACTTCAAATTTACTCATGGATATCTTGAGGACTGCAAGATAGGGCCTTGAAGAAGCCAACATGTGATTACTGAGGGTAAGGATTTTCAATCCTGGTCCTGGAGAAGGGCTAGAAATTGGGTTGGTTATCAATGGCTAATTATTTAACCAATTGTACCCTTGCAACAACCCTAAGTGATAGGGATGAAAGTAAGGGAACTTCTGGCTTAGTTAACATTGAAGTACTCAGAGGGTGGCATACTCAGAGGCTGTGGAAGGAAGCTCTTCACCTCCACATCTTGTGCTCTATATATCTTTTTCATTTGGTTGTTCCTAAGTCGTACCCTTGTTCTAGCTTGGTTCTTGTTGTTCTGTTCTAGTTTGTTCTCTTTCTGAGATAAAAACTATGACCAAAAGCAACTTAGGAAGGATCACAATCCTGATCACAATCCATCGGTCAACCAGGAGCAGGAATTGCAGCCCAAGAGTAGCGTTGTCCACAATGAGCTGGATCTTTCCACATCAATCTATAATCAAGAAAACTGTCCCACAGACATGACTGCAGGCCGTGCCTAACTGAGTTCTCTGAGTTATTCAAGTACACTATTGAATTTGTATAGGATAGTGTGTGGTGACCCCTTCTAGTCCCATGATGATTGCTTTGGCTTCTCTACTTGAATGCTAGCTCATTAGTGAAACACACCTTTGGGCACATCCATGAAGGCAATTCCAGAGTGGATTAACTGAGGAAGAAAGCACTACCCTGAATGTGGGCAGCACCATCCAAGGGCCGAGATGCCAGACTAAATAGAAAGGGAACAAAGGAGAAGATCAAGTTCAAGTGAGCACCAGTATTCCCCTTCTCTGCTTTCTAATCTGTGGGCAAGCAGTCTTTATGCTCTACGACATTCCCTCTAGCACAGAATACACCCTCAAACTATGATTTTCTTATCTGTCAGGTATTTGGACAAAGCAATGAGAAAACTATATAATACAACCCCAAATTTGTAACTGGGCATAGACAAAGGTAGCCATTTTTGGCTGGTGTCTCAAGTCAAACAACTTTGTGGGACTATTGTGGGTCTGTCCTACTGCTGATACAAACAAATGTATTGGGGGATACAAGTAAGTATAAAACACTACAAAAATTTAAAGTAGCCAACAAAAAATGGTTCAATAGTAAAAAATTCCTTCAAAAACGAGGAAATCTCAGCAAAGAAACAGACATTATTATGAGAGAACCAGAGATTACAGAACTGAAAAAATACAATAAACAAATATAAAACATACTAAACAGGCAGGAGGGAACTTGCCTATAATGCACAAGTCCCTATTACTTTCCAACATTTTCACAAAAACAAAAATAAACAAGAGAAAAACTTCACTAGTTGTGTGGTAACAATAAAAGATAAAATCAGTGACCTTGAAGGTAAATATCAACAGAATTTATTTAATCTTGAAATCAACAAAAAACTAGACTGAAAGCTGAGAGTGTAGCTCAGTGATAGAGCATGTGCCTAACATGATGAGGTTATGGGTACAATACCAAGCGCTGCAATGACTATGTAGAAAACAGATATTTAAAAAGGAACAGAAATTCAGGGGCCCATGGGACTTTAACAAAAACTCCAATATTCATATTAATGATATCCCACAAAAATAGAACAATGCAGCTCAAAGAATGTGCATAGCAAGCCAGGCATGGTAGTGCATACCTTTATATTCCCAGCACTTAGGAACTGAACCAGGAGGATAATAAATATGAAGCCAACTTAAGCTATACAGTAAGACCCAGTCTCAAAATGAAAAACAAAACAAACAATAAAATTCATATTCAAAGTAATAATGGCTGAACATTTCATGCCAAGATGTCAAAAATGAAACCTCTTAAAAAGTAATGATACCACCACCCATCTCAGCCACACTGGCAGGTCAGCAGAAAAGACTCCTGAAGGAAGGCTACACCAATCCCCCCACACACACCCTGTAACCTACAAATCACACTCTGCCCCCAATACCACCCATCCCCCATGACCTCAGCAGTTCCCTGGACACAGACATCTACTGCACAGAGAGGACTGAGAGGTAAGTGACCAGCTTCCCATCCGGACCACAGAGCCTCTAGAACCTAGGCCCCAGGGCAAAATCCGTGGTCCTTCCCCCACCCATCTTAGCCACACTAGCAAGTCATCAGGAAAGACTCCTGCAGAAAGGTTATACCAACAGCCCCCCACAGGACCCTGTAACGTAAAAATCCCACTCTGCCCCCAATACCATCCATCCCCAGTGACCTCAGCAGCTCACTAGACACAGACATCTACTGCACAGAGAGGACTGAGAGAGAGGACTGAGAGGATTGGATCAAGAGGCAAACACAATGCCTGCACCAATGGGAAGGGAGATGGGTAGATGTCAATACAAGAATACATTCAACAACCTAAAGAGTTACATGGCAACACAATAAACCTAGTGGTATCACATCAGGAAGACCTGAGCATCCCAAGGCAGAAGCAGCAGAAGAAAATGACCTTAAAAATAACTTAATAAAAATGATAGAGATCCTTAAAGAAGAAATGAAGAATTCCCTTAAAGAAATGGAGGAAAAGACAAACAAAAAATTGGAAGAAATCAATAAATCCCTTAAAGAAAACCAAGGGTGGGGGAAGAGAAACAAGCCCAAGACTTGGAGATTGAAATGGAGGCAATAAAGAAAACACAAAACGATGGAATTCTGGAAATGGAAAATCTTGGTAAATGAACAGGAACTATAATCAACAGAATGCAAGAGATGGAAGAAAGAATCTCAGGTGTTGAAGTACAATAGAGGTAATAGATTCATTGGCCAAAGAAAACATAAAACCAATAAAGTCATAAAACAAAATGTCCATGGAATCTGGGAAACCATGAAAAGACCAAACCTAAGAATAATAGTGATAGAAGAAAGAGAAGAATACCAGTTCAAAGGCACAGAAAATATATTCAATAAAATCATAGAAGAAAACCTTCCCACCTAAAGAAGGAAAAGCCTATGAAAATACAAGAAGCCGACAGAACACCAAATACAATGGACCAAAAAAATCCTCTTGCCACATAATAATCAAAACACAAAATATACAGAATAAAGAAGGAATATTAAAAGCTGCAAAGGAATAGGATCAAGTAACATATAAAGGCAGACCCATCAGAATAACTCCTGACTTCTCAATGGAGACCCTCAAAGCCAGAAGGTCCTGGGCAGACGTTTTGCAGACCAAGGATGCCAACCCAGACTACTACGCCCAGAAAAAGTTTCAATTACCATAGATGGAGAATACAAAATATTCCATGAGAAAACCAGATTTAACTACCTATCCACAAATCTAAGCCTACAGGAATCACTACAAGGAAAACCTCAACCCAATGAGGTCAGAGGTACCCAGGAAAGCACAGGCAATAAATAGCCCCATACAAGCAAATCCTAAGGAAAGGAAACACACACTGCACCACCAAAAACAGGAAACAACAGTCACTAGTCATTGATATCCTCTAATATCAATGGACTGAACTTGCCTATAAAAAGACACAGGCTAATAAAATGTATACAAGGACAGGATCCATCCTTCTGCTGCATATAAGAAACACACCTCAACTTCAAAGACATATGGTAACTCAGAGTAAAGGGCTGGGAAAAGACTTTCCAATCAAATGGACCTAAGAAGCAAGCTGGTGTAGCTATCCTAATATCTAATAAATTAGACTTCAAACTAAAATTAATCAAAAGAGATGATGAAGAACATTTCATATGAATTACAGGACAAACCCATCAAGAAGTCTTAATCCTGAACATATATGCCACAAATGCAAGGGCACCCACATTCGTAAAAGAAATATTACTTAAATCACACACCAAACCCAAAACACTAATAGTGGGAGACTTTAACACCCTGCTCTCACCAGTGGAAAGGACTGCCAGACAGAAAATCAACAGAGAAAGAAATAAGGGATCCAACAGATGTAATGACTCGAATGGGCTTAGCAGACATCTGTAGGGCATTCCACCCAAACACAAAAGAATAACCTTCTTCTGAGCACCCCATGGAACCTTTTCTAAAACTGACCACATAACTGGTTACAAAGAAAATCTCCACAAACACAAAAAGATTGGAATAACCCCTATATTTTATCATATCATCATGGCTTAAAGTTAATTTTCAACAACACAAATTCTAGAAAGCCTACAAACACGTGGAAACTGCATAATGCCCACTGGGTCAAGGAAGAAAGAAAGAAATTAAAGATTTCCTAGAATTCAATGAAAATGAATGTACAACATATCCAAACTTATGGGACACTATGAAAGCAGTGCTAAGAGGAAAGTTCATAGCACTAAACTCCACACTAGCAAATTAACAAAATTACTGAAAGCTCTAGAACAAAAAGAAGCAAATTTACCCAGGAGTAGACACCTGGAAATAATCAAAATTGAGGGCTGAAATCAATAAAATAGAAACAGAACAACAGAAAGAATCAATAAAACAAAGAGTTGGTTCTTTAAGAAAAATCAACAAGATAGACAAACACTTATCCAAACTAACTAAAAGGCAGAGAGAGAATATCCAAATTAACAAAATCAGAAATGAAAAGGAGGGCATAACAACAGTCACTGAGGAAATCCAGAGAATCATCATATGATACATCAAAAAACTATACTCCAAAAAATTGGAAAATTTAAAAGAAAATGGACAGTTTTCTAGATAGGTTCTACATACCAAAATTAAATCATGACCAGATAAATACTATAAATAGAGCTATAACCCCTAATGAAATAGAAGTAGTCATTAAAAGTCTCCCAACCAAAATGATCCCATGACCAGTTGCTTTCAGCACAGGATTCTATCAGAATTTCAAAGAGGAGATAACTCTAATACTCCTCAAATTGTTCTACACAATAGAAAGAGAAGGAACACTGCCAAACTCCTTTTATGAGGCTACAGTAACCCTGATACCCAAAACACACAAAGATACAACAATGAAAGAAAACAACAGACCAATCTCCCTCATGAACATTGATGCAAAAATATTTAATAAAATACTGGCAAACCGGGCTGGAGAGATGGCTCAGAGGTTAAGAGTGCTGACTGCTCTTCCAGAGGTCCTGAGTTCAATTCCCAGCAACCACATGGTGGCTCACAACCATCCATTATGAGATCTGGTGCTCTCTTCTGGTGTGCAGATATACATGGAAGCAGAATGTTGTATACATAATAAGTAAATAAACTCTTAAAAAAATACTGGCAAACCCAATCCAAGAACACATCAAGAATATCATTCACCATGACCAAGTAGGCTTCATCCCAGAGAAATCTGTCAATGTAATCTATCATATAAACAAACTGAAAGAAAAAAACCACATGTTCATCTCATTAGATGCTGAAAAAGTTTTCAAGATCCCACACCCTTTTATGATAAAGGTCTTGAAGAGATCAGGATACAAGGAACATACCTAAACATAATAAAGTCAATATATAGCAAGGCAACAGCCAAGATCAAACTAAATGGAGAGAAACTCAAAGTGATTCCATTATAATCAGGAACAGGATAGGGTTGTCCACTGTTTCTTTATGTATTCAATATAGTATGTGATGTTCTAGCTAGAGTAATAAGACAGCAAAAGGAGATCAAGGGGATACAAATTGGAAAGGAAGAAGTGCAACTATCACTAGTTGCAGATGATATGATAGTTTACATAAGTGACCCCCAAAACTCTACCTGGGAACTCCTACAGCTGATAAACACCTTCAGTAATATGGTGGAATACAAGATT